ATCGTCGTCGCACGCCCATCTCCTTCGGTGGCGATCCTCGTCGACCGCCCATCTTATTCGGCGTCGATCTTCGTCGACCGCCCTTGTTCTACGGCTTCGAACGTCGTCGACAGCCGACCTTCTGCAATACATCGATCTTCTCAAGCTCCAAGCTCTGATACCAACTGATGTAGTGGATCGGCGGAAGTCGATACCTGCAAGAAGGATTTGAAAATTCCCAATCCAGGGAAGAAGAAGAAGAAAGCTTTTCAAGCTTCAAAAGGTGTATATATCATTCAATGCCTCCAAACCCATACATTATACCTATTTAAGGGAGCAAATAGAAGACTCTAGACTAAAGGAGATAAACTAGTCCCTAAGCATAAGATAGGCTAAAATGTTCCCACATCACATGACTTTCCAAAAAAACAAAACCAAGCTCATGACGCATTGTCATGTCAACTGGTCAAAAAATTGTAGTCAATTTTTAATGTTATATATCGGACGCACCGGTCGTTACAATTATTTGAGGTGGTTCCATCTGTCAACAATGTGAATTGCGGAATACTCGGCTTCGCACTTTTAGTTGGGGAAAAAATAACAACAAGTTCATATAAGATGTTATATGGTAAGTAAGGAATATTATTAGGTCTGGTGACCGGACGTAGTTCTACGTGTGTTCACCACTGAGTTATCCGGTATTTGTTCGATATTTGCTCGGTATTGCTAGGTATTGCTTGGCAATAACGAGAAATACCGCTATGTGAAGACCAATATCGAGTAATACCGAGTTTTTCTAAAAAAACTCGGTATTGCTCAGTATTTATCTTCACATAATGGTATTTCTCGTTATTGCCGAGCAAAATCGACAAATACATGATTTTGTGCCTGCTACGTGGCGCGATTTAGTGCCTACCGAACGTAGCTCTACATCCTTTCACCGGACCAAATAAAAAATTCGGTAAGTAGTAACCATCTAATAAATAACTCGTTCACCGAGAATTAGAACGCTTCTTATGTTCATAATTGCCGAATGGTTGTAAATTTCCATTTGAATGTCATGTGATGCTAATTAGGTGAATGCTGTTAACATCTTCTTTTATAATTAACTGTATTTTATGCAAAATACCAAAAACACATTCAAGGAACCTAATTTAAAATAAAATATTAAAATAATAAAATAAAGCTCACATCCTGATGATAAAAAAAAAACCCAATTACATACAAGAATTACAAAACCGACTTAAAATTTTGAAAAATCAATATCCCTAAAGAATTAGGCTTTGTTTGGTAATGCTTTCTTGCTGCTTTATAAAGCAATTTTTTAATGCAAAAATTTCTTAAAGTTAAAATTTTTATACTAAGAAGTTGCTTCATAAGTAGTTAGAAAGTTATCCCAAATAAAGCCTTAGTTATCAATAATTTATTGCACTTTTTCGTTTGATAAAATTCACTAATGGGCGTATGCGTTAATATAATTAAGATTGCATGTCCTTAAAAGAGATCAAAAGCATCTAATGCTTAGAAGAGCAACATCAAAAGAAAAATAAACCTAAATGCCAAAGATCCCATCTAATTACAATCACAAAAAGAAACCTAATAAAAATCTAGGTAGGATTGGACCCATGAAACAAAAAAACGGAGATCAAAGATTAACTTTCAACACCATCATCAAGCCAAAAGGAACAAAACCAGCAAAAAATCAACAATCTATGGACGGAAGGCTTTAAAGAGTGAAAAAGATGAGTATCAAACCTCATAGCTATAGGGAGAATCGACGAGCTTAGTCTGATAGGAAAGCAGCAGGTTCCGAAATTATGGTGGTCAAAACAAGGCATATAAGAACCACCTACAGAAAGCAAGACAAACCAACTGAAAAAGGATAGCAAGATACAAAAATCTGAAAAATAAGAATCAACAATTCGAACAGAATGGAACCAAACCACACCCAAACTAGAAAAAAAAGGCAGACATAATGAACCAACTGCAGTAAAATATAACTCCAGGAAAAACAACATATCACATAGACAGAAACCCACAAATCATAATAGTAACTGGAAATATAAAGTAATTCATACACATCTAACATAATTTTTCCCTTGAGGATAGCAGAAAAATCAAACATAGTAAATGTCCTGAAATAGTCAAGATATAGCCTTGCTTAGCCAACCAAACAGCACAAATATTTACTATTTGATTAATATAAGAAGTTCTATAATTTAGATTTAACAATAAAACTGTCATCTTATAGAAAGTATAAAAACTTTGGCATACATATAGTTTTTGGAGTTGATGAAAGAGATCAAACTATTAAAATCAGATTCAATCCAAACCATGTGAATATTATGGTCATAGCAACATGTTAGGCTTCGTTTGGGACGGCTTTCTTTATGCTTCTTAAAGCAGCTTTCTAATACAAAAAATTTTTATTTTATATTAAAAAATTGCTTTAAGAAACAGAAAGAAACCCGTCCCAAACGAAGCCTTAATCTTTCAATCAAAGCAACCAATTCAACACCAAAACCATCGCCAGGAGTTGCAATTGGAAGCAAAACCACACACCAATTTTCCATAATGATCCTGGATCAAGCCACCATACCCATTACCAAAAGCGTGGATGTTGAGTTTAAATTCATTTATGCGAGGCTTAATCCAGTAGAAATCTAGTTGATGTTTCAACCTTTTAGAATTATCATAATGAATGTCAAAATAAGCAAGCCAATCTTTCCTGCCACGAAAATGCTTCAAAGAATCCATTCCATCCTTGAAAAGCTATTATCTTTTTGAATGATAAGGATCTAAGGACCCGTTGGGGCATATTTAATGCCATTATTATTTCTATTGTTCCTCTCCTCCCAATGGAACCAAAAAACCAACAGAGGAATAGTGTGAAAAATGTGCTTTTTAACTTTGAGCTGAAACTGACATTCTAGGAAAGAAGAAATGGCCAAGGTATAGACCATTCTTAAAGGTATACCAAACCTTTGCAGCAATCGGACCAATGAAAAAAAACATGAGAAATAGTTTCAACATGATAATAATATTGACATTTGAAAACTAAACAAAGACCTTTTTCTTGCATCCTACTATCAACAGGGAAAAAACCTTTTAAGATTGTCCAAACAAACATAAAGGCATATAAGGGAGTGGAAGAGTTCCAAATCTTACTAAAAGTTAGGATAACTTTATTGTTAGGTCAAATATAACGCCACCCTTTTCTTAGGTTGAAGTGACCATCTATAGTTAACTTACACAAAATACGGTCCGACCAAGATATATTAAAGGGGATCCAACAAACCATGTCCAACAAATTCTGATGAATAAATTCAAGAAAATGATCTTTGGACCAAGCACCTTTATTAAACTTTCAATGAGGTGGAAGAATGCGTATTGAGGAGGGACACAAGATATCCCTCACCAGACAAATCATCCTACCAAAAAATAAGATGAGCCAATATGAATTCTCCATTGAATAATAGATTTAGCAGAACATTTGATGTTGCACAATACTTTCCAACTCGGAGATTGATCTCACTTGAATGAGCAAGTGATAGGGTGTTTATCCTTATAATACTTTTGATTCATGAACTTGGCCCAAAGAGAATCATTATTCATGAATTTTCACCATAATTTGAAGGAGAAGCTAGTAACTAAATCAGTAATAGACTTACAACCCATGCCCTCTTCTAAAAAAGAACCTGTACAAGCACCTCAATTAGACCAATGCATCATTTTAGAGTTATTAGTGGAGCCCCAAAAAAAATTGTTAAAGGCTTTCTCAATTCTATCACAAAAACCACTAGTAGGACGGATGGTTTGAAGAAGGTAAATATGCATAAAAGAAAGAATGCTCTAAATGAGAATAAGCCTGATAACCTATGGATAACAACTTAAACTCTCAATTAGCGAGCTTTTTATTAATTGCAGAAAAAAAAACTATCAAACAAAAAAGACTTTTTCTTACCATTAAGAAGAGGAGTACCAAGGTAGTAGATGGGTAAAGCTTGATTACAAAAATTAACGCAAAGTTTAATGTTATCACAATGAACCATAAACATGTCCATTACACCAATGAAGGAACATTTACTATTATTAAAATAAAGACCAATTTCACTTTCAATAGTAGACAGAAACTTCTTGACTTTATTAACACATTTCAAATAACCATTACAAAAGATGATGATATCGTTAGCAAAACAAAGGTGTTAAATATCAATGCCGCCAAAGTTCATGTAGTGAAAGTTATTATTGGTGGCAAAAAGATGGGTTAAGCCTTTATATAAATAATCAGTAACTATAATGAATAGAGTAGGAGATTGGGGATCTTCTTGCCTTATACCTTGGACTCCTTTAAAAAGTTCATGAAACTTTCCATTAATAATAATAGAGAACCAACAAAAAATATTATGGAGTGTATCAACTGAAAATTTCTTAAAATGATATGAAATTTAGTTTATAATATTGTAAGATTTAATTGAAATGCTTGTAATTCCTCCTCTTTTTTATTTTGGCAAGAATATTAAGGGACATTTTGGTTTGTTGAATAAGGAAATTAGGCTATAATTAAAGAAAGTGTAAAAGAAATGCAACATATTTATAATATTTTACGTTGTTTTTTCGATGTAAAATGAATACAGATGATTTTTTTTTATTTGACTTGAAAAAAAATTAGTATAGTGTAAAACCTAATGGTGGTGGCGGCCAGCGACGAGCAATGGTTGATAGCAACGTCAGACTATAGTAATGAGTGACGTCCAATGGCCAGCTGCAGGCCACAACGGACGATAGTAATGGTAGATGGGAGTCTGTTGACGGCAACGGGTGATGATGACACACAATGGATTATGGGTGAAAATGATCCTGAATTTATAATTTATCGTAAAATAGATCAAATCTAATAAGTTTTAAATATATTAAAATTAATTAAAAAATATATTTAAATATCTTAAAATTTTACTTTAGTTTTACCAAATATTATAAAAACGCTGCAGTTAAAATAGTTCAACCCATTTTACTTGAAAGCTAAACAGCCCGCATCCCTATCGCCCATCGGAAATGCTGTATGCCGCCGTTGGCTTAAGACGCGAATCAGATCAGAGAACGCCACTTCGGATAGTGACGCCACAGTGAGATAGTAGGGAAGGAATGAGGCGCCTGAGATGGGCGGTAGACGGCGGTGGATGGGAGGTGGACGCCGAGGCTCCGGTGACGATGGAGGGGACAGCGCGTGCGGTGCCGGGGGATCCGCTCCCCTTGGGGCTCTCCCGCGGTGGCCGCCTCTCTCGCTCGAAGCAGCTCGATTTCCTACATCGCTTTATGGCTTCCCCTCTCGTTCCCTCCTTTGCCGGCGACCCCGCTAACGGAGGCCGGGGTCTGCTCCTCCACCACGCCCACGCGTTCCACATCCGCGATAATTGGTATTCTTATCATTTATCATAGTTGTCTCGTCTGCATTATATTCTTCTGAAGTGGATTAATTTGGTTGGCTTAGGGTTTAAGGAAGACTGGAGTTGATTGGACTGTAAGAGTTTAGGTTCTGTGAGCTGGAGTGATGGTGAAATTTGAGTACATTTTGGATTATGTCCTTGAACGATTAGTCTGAATAGTGCCTGTATTATTTTATAGTTGGACGGACACCGCCCCTGAAAGGACCTGCAAAAGGTTAGAGGTAAAAGGAAGAAAGCTAAGAAGAGAATAGTGTAAAGTATTTCCCCATATCTCAAAGTACCGATTACAGGGGTATGTATGGTTAATAAAGCCTGTAAAGATAATGGAGCAGAACGGTTAACAGAGACCGTTGGCTGGCCAGTGAGCAGAGTAGTGGAAAATGTACTATTGCTGACGTGGCCAAGAGCACTTGAGTGGTTGTATGCTGCAATGCGTATGAGTGTTCTAACAGCCCCCTCAAGTTGAGGGTTCAATGGTCGAATGCTCAACTTGTCCCTTAGCTGAGCAAAGCGTGCTAGAGGTAGCGGCTTGGTAAGAAGATCAGCCGGTTGGTCTTCAGAGTTGATGTGGTGGATGATTATAGCACCAGAGGAGATATGTTGTCTAATGAAGTGATAATCAATTTCTATATATTTGGTGCGGGCGTGGAAGACCGGATTATGAGCGAGAGCCATGGCGGAGGTGTTGTCGCAGTAGAGGGATGTGGGCTATGTTTGCTGAATGTGAAAGTCAGCTAAGAGACGGTGCAACCAAATGATATCTGAAGTCGCAGAGGAGAGGGCACGGCATTCTGCCTTGGTGGAGGATTTTGCCACAGTAACTTGTTTCTTCACACACCAAGAGATAAGACTTTTGCCAAGAAATGTACAAAAGCCGGTAATTGATCGGCGATCCTGGGTGTCACCGGCCCAGTCAGCGTCCGAATAGGTGCTGAGATGGAGGGAGCTGGGCTGAAGGGGAAGGCCATAGTGAATAGTTCCTTGTATGTATCGCAATAGATGTTTCAAGGCTTTGTAATCAGTAATTGAGGGATTGTGCATACGTTGGCAAATACTGTTCGCTGCATACGCGATCTCCGGTCTTGTAATTGTCAGGTAGTTGAGAGAGTCGGCCAAGCGTCTGTATTGTTGCGGATCGGAATATGGAGTAGTAACGTCTGAGTTGGAGGAGGGCTTGAGCGCAGAGGGAGTCAAGACCGGTTTGCTGTGTTGTAAACCAGCGGATATTAAGAGATTAGTGGCATATTGGGCATGGTGTAGGAATAATTCGGTAGCTGTTTTGGAGACTTGTATGCGCAAGAAACTTGAAATTGGCCCCAGCTGTTTGAGTGAAAATGATGTTTTGAGATGGGAGACTAGCTGCTGAATGGCTGCGGAGTTGTTACCTGTGAGTAGAAGATCATCCACATATATAAGGATGTAGAGCCGAGTGCTGGCGTTGGAATAGGTAAGCAACGAGGGATCGACCTTGCTAAAGTTGAAGCCGAATTGAATTAATGAGGATGTGAATTTGTTGTACCATTCCCTCGGAGCTTGTTTAAGCCCTTAGATTGTTTTGTGAAGCTTACAAACATGGTGAGGTAGATCACGATCAATGAAGCTGGTTGGCTGACGCATGTAAATATTTTCATGAAGGTCTCCATGAAGAAATGCGTTTGAGATGTCAAATTGAAGCGTAGGCCAGTTGTTGTGGAGGGAAATGAGGAGTAGGATCCGGATGGTCGGCATTTTAGCTACTGGGCTAAACGTCTCCTTGTAATTGATACCGAACTCCTAATTAAAGCCTTGAGCAACAAGCCTTGCCTTGCATCTATCAACTTGGCCGTCCGAATTATATTTTATTCGGTAAGTCCATTTGCACCAGAATTGTTGTGTTTGGCGGTGGTGGAACAAGGGACCATGTCCCTTATTTTTGTAAAGCAATGAACTCCTTGGACATGGCAGCTCTCCAGTGAGGAAGTTTGTGTGCTTGAGTATATGTCAAGGGAGTATTATTGGAGGTGGTGAGGGCTAGGAGATCGAAGTGAATGCCCGTTTTAAGTCTTGTTTGCATTGGATGAATGGAGGTATGATTGGGTGGAATTGTGGTGAGGGGTTGTGACAACGGGGTGGTGGAAGTTGAGGTAATTGGGTTGGAAGCCGTGAATGTTGAAGTAGGTGTGTGTACTGAGAGATTATATGAGGGTAAGGGTGAGAGGGTAGTACCGTCGGTGATAGGATTTATAGGGGTTTGGGAAGATATTGTTGATGTTGGCATGAGTAGATAGGGTGTTGTGTAAGACTGTCAAGAAGGAGGTTTTTGAGGTATAATATTGGTCGTATGGAATGGAAATACATTTTCATTAAACAGAATATGACGTGAAATGTGGAGCTGATTGGTATGAAGGTTGAGACAACGATACCCTTTGCGGGAAGATGAGTATCCGAGGAAGAGGCATTCTTGTGAGCGAGGATGCAGCTTGGATGGGGTGGTAGGTTGAAGCCAGGGAAAACACAAGCAGCCGAAGGTCTTAAGGTGAGAGTATGTAGGTGGTTGATTGTACAGAAGTTGAAATGGTGTGTTGTTGTGAATGCTTTTGGAGGGTAAACGATTGATTAGATACATGGAGGTTAGAATGGCTTCGGCCCAAAAGTGATGTGGGAGATTTGCTTGATGAAGGAGGGCTCGGGTGGTTTCAAGTAAGTGGCGATGTTTGCGTTCGGCCGTGCCATTCTGTTCTGGTGTATGGGGGCAGCTTAGCTGATGAGTGATGCCATGAGTGTTGAGGTAATCACGGAACAAGTGACTGGTGAATTCGCCACCACCGTCCGAGCGTAGAGTTAGAATTTTTGAGTTGAATTTGTTACTAATAAGAGTGTGAAGGTGTTTAAATTTAGAGAACGTTTCTGATTTGTTATGCATTAGATATAGCCATGAATACCGTGTATTATCATGAATAAAAGAACGTAATAGCGAAAACCATGAGTGGAATTAACGGGAGCAAGGCCCCAAACATATGAATGTATTAGCATGAAAGGTTTGGATACACGGTTTGAACTAGAAGTAAAAGATAACTTGTGGCTTTTAGCCACATTACATGAAGTGCATAGAGAAGGTGGTGGGGAGATACATAGAGAGGGTAAGTTCCTAGATAGCAGTTGTTGAGTCTGAGCATTGGGATGACCAAGCCAAGCGTGCCAGTTTGGAGAATTGGATGTAATCGAATGAAGAGCAGTGAAGTTGTCGGAGGTTGTGGGAACGGAGTGTCCACGGATGAAGGTTTTGTTGTCCATGAGATCCTTAATAGTGAAGCCGGTTGAGTCAAATGAAATTGAACAATTGTTGTCAGTTGTTAATCGGTGAATTGAGAGGAGGTTGTGTGATAATCGCATGCCTTCGCAACATATTTGAGCCGCCCTTTGAAATTTTTTGAGCCCTTCAGACGATCTAAATTCATTAAATAAAATGTATATTCTGAATTTCGGGGATGTTCAAAACGCAATGATGCTGTCCGTTCATCAATTGGACGTCATTTAGGCGACGACGAGGCTTAGTTCCCTCGTAGTGCGTGCCTTCATAACATATATGAATCGTTCTTTGAAATTTACGACACCACCCCAAATGATCCAATTTAATCAAATAAGATGTAGACTCTTAATGCCGACGACGTCCCAAACGCGATGGTGCCATCCGTTTGGCAATCTGACGTCATGTCGTCTTCGTAGAGGCGAATTTCCGCAATATGTGCGTCATTGAATTATATTAGGATTGCCTCGAGATATGTGCCACCAATATGGGCGCTTCAAATTGAATAAAAAAAAATTATAGTTTTTAGAGGTTGACATTATTCCGGACGCAACAGTGAAGTCCGTTTGTCGATCCGACATTGTTTGATCAACCTCGCGCTTTAATTTTGAGTGTCGGCCATCCCTTTTGATCGATCTCATCTGATTCAATTGCGAGGGGCCTCGACCCAGCAGAGTTCAGTTTCCTGATCACAACGATACTATCCATTCGGCATTCGGAGGTCATTTGACCCTTTAAGTGACATGTGGCGCTAAGGTGTGTAATGTTTTATTCACCAATTGGGGTCCTTTATCACATGGTTTGAGGTATATGGGTCAACATATTTGTATTGGCTAAAATGGGAAGTGAATGGTTGTTATTTTGCTAAAGTTATTTTAATTCCACGGAAGAGGAGGCTTAGTGGGCGGCTTCATCATTAAAGAAGTTTGATGATTTCTTCAAGCCATGCTACTTTGTGAGTGGTAAGGTCTCATATCTCTATAACCCTACTTATATATTTTATTAGAACTCTTCTACAATTCTACCTTCATACTCCCATATCAAATACCCATTTGTTACAACAACAACAAAATCATCAAGATTTTATCCCACTACATAGGGTCGGCTAGATGAATTTTTTTTCTCCATTGTGTTATGTTAAGAGTCAAATTCTCATTTACATTTAATAAAATAGTCATTTCTAATATTTTCTAGCTAAGTATTATTATGTCTATCTCTGTCTTTCTTAGTTAGGACAAATTCAATACATCTACACTTCTAACTGGGTCATTGGAAGGCCAATGTTTTGTGTCCAAACCATCTAAGACGACTCTCTCTAATCTAATCTCCCACTAGAGCTACTTCAATTTTTTCATGTATATTTTGCATTCTGTCTCTAAGAGTGAAGCCACTCATCTACCTGAGCATCATCATCTCTATAACACTTAAATTTATGCTTTTCTTTTAATGGCCAACATTTTGTGCTATAAAGTATTGTGGGTCTCACCACCATCTTATAGAATTTTCTCTTAAGTTTGAGGGGTACTTTTCTATAACACAACATGCCCGATGCATTCCTCCACTTCAACCATCAAACTTGAATTCTACTAATAATATCCCCATCTATTTCACCATCAGTTTGAACAATAGATCCAATATATCTAAAGTGTCTACTTTTATTAATGACTTGATCGCCCAAAGTCAC